GAAAGAGAAGGAGACAGGCAAAGATCAGTGTAAAGCTTCTTGGAGCTGGAGAGTCTGCCATGCAGCTACCGACCACCACTAGGAAGGATGCTAATGAATACTTTAATATTATGATTGTGATTCTATTAAAGTATCTTTATTCCTTGCAAGCCACCCTGGAAGGATTTGTATCCTGACATCATCATCACCATCATTTATTTGTACCCCACCTATCTGGCTGGGTTTCCCCAGCCCCTCTGGGCAGCTCCCAACAGAATATTAAAAATACGATAAAACATCAAGCATTAAAAACTTCCCTAAACAGGGCTGCCTTCAAATGTCTTCTAAAAGTCAGATAGTTGTTTATTTCCTTGACATCTGATGGGGGGGGGCGTTCCACAGGGCGGGTGCCACTACCGAGAAGGCCCTCTTCCCTGTAACTTCACTTCTCGCAGTGAGGGAACTGCCAGAAGGCCTTCGGAGGCTGAACGATGGGGGTGGAGACGCTCCTTCAGGTATACTGGGCCGAGGCCGTATACCTGACAGGATCCATTGTAATATATAAATTCTGTGCACATCTCTACTCCAGAGACAGCAACACAGGAGCTCTAGTGACTTCAGAGGACATACTGAAACAAATGATTAGGGACGGCCATTTCTCCACAATTTAGGTAATGGAGAGTTGGATTCAGAGGGTGGTGCAGGGGGAAGTGACCTTTGGTTGGATAGAGTCCCTTGCATCATTTCCCCAGCCAACAGTAAACCTCCTGAAGCTGGCTACACATTATGCTGGAAGAGGAGAGCATTAGAAGATAGGGAAGCATCCTCACTTTGCCACAGAAACTGACCAACTCTTCCCTATACGACACTTTGGTCTGTGCTATAGAGCCTGGTACCAGAACACTCCCCCTCATGGATCACTGCCTTGCCGTGGCGAAGGGGCTTGAATAACTCAGAGAAGCTATGAACTATGCCGAGTAGGGCACCCAAGATGGACTGGTCATAGTGGAGAGTTTTGACCAAACGTGATCCACCTGGAGCAAGAACCGGCAAGCCACTCCAGTATCCCTGCCAAGAAAACTCCATGGACAAAGACAACAGGCATATAAAAGTTATGACGCTGGAGGATGAGCCCCTCAGGTCAGAAGGCGTCCAACATGCTACTGAAGAAGAGCGGAGGACAAGTACAAGTAGATTCAGAGCTGATGAAGCGGCTGGGCCAAAGCTGAAAGGTTGCTCAGTTGCGGATATGCCTGGAAGCGAAAGGAAAGTCCAATGCTGTAAAGAAAAATATTGCATAGGAACCTGGAAAGATGGAGGGCAAAAGGAGAAGGGGACGACAGAGGACGAGATGGTTGGATAGTGTTCTCGAAGCTACCAGCATGAGTTTGACCAAACTACAGGAGGCAGTGGAAGACAGGAGTGCCTGGTGTGCTCTGGTCCATGGGGTCATGAAGAGTCGGACACGACTAAACGACTAAACAACAACAACAAAACCAGAACACTGGGAAAAAGTATAGCACATTAATCGAAGGTTGGGACACTGGTTCAGTTGCCCAGAGCTGCGGGAAGTGGCCGGTCTACCAGTGCTGACCTCTACAACACAAGCAACCTGGTAATGGGAGAAGGGTGGACTCAAAGTTTCATTGAAAGGTGTCTGTGTGGGTTTGTGCATGTCTGCAACCAAAGCTGCAAAGTCACCAGGTTACTTTCAGCTGGGCCCTGTCTGTAAACCCATGTGACACACTTCTGTCTCCATAGCTGTTGCTTACAATTATTTTTGTTCAGGAGCCATTTTTTTCTGGTTTCAAAATTTCCCTTCCTTTCCATTTGGGAAGGAAGAGCGAGGTATCTGCGAGGATGTAAATTAATTACGAGCATCAGACACACCTAAGATTGGTCAATGCTGCTCTGTCAACAGGACTTGATCATGACACAGCAAGTAGCTGGAATCGATTGCCAGTCGAAGGAAAGGCTTTGCAAATATGACCCAATCGCTTATGCATTGTTAAGTGTTGTTGGCACCGATATATGCATTTGTATTTACATTTTTCTGTAATAAAGTCAAACCTCAGTTGTTGAATGTAATCCATTCTGGAAGCCTGTTCGGCTTCTGAAATGTTCGCCAACCGAGACATGGCTTCCAATTCATTGCAAGAGCTTCCTGTACTCAAGAGGAAGCTGCTTCGGACATTCGGCTTCCAAAAAACGTTTGAAAACCAGAGCGTTTACTCCTGGATTTTCAGTGTTCGGGAGCCAAAATGTTCCAAAACCTAGCTGTTCGGGAGCCAAGGTTTGAATGTATAATTATTTTTTGTAGACATTGCTTGGCTGGCTGGTGAAAAGCAACACAAAATTCAGGGCAAGGCAGAAAAACTGCTGTACTTCCATGGGATATTGTTTCTGAATCAGGTAGATGCGCATTAAAATCTTGGCTAAACCAGATTTGTCCCCCCAAGTGAAAGAATGTTTGCATCCAGTGTGAGGTAGTGGATCTTTTGCCTTGTGGGAATGCCTGCCATTTGCCTCCACTTGCAGTATGTGCTGTGAAGCTGAGGCTCCAGTACTTTGGCCACCTCATGAGAAGAGAAGACTCCTTGGAAAAGACCCTGATACTGGGAAAGATGGAGGGCACAAGGAGAAGGGGAAGATAGAGGACAAGATGGTTGGACAGTGTTCTCGAAGCTACCAACATGAGTCTGACCAAACTGAGGGAGGCAGTGGAAGATAGGAGTGCCTGGCGTGCTCTGGTCCAGGGGGTCACGAAGAGTCGGACACGACTAAACGACTCAACAACAACACAGTATGTGCTGCCTGCAAAAAAAGAAAAAGCAATTTTATAAAAATGTCATAGGTTTCAAGTGCCCTGTCATCCAAAGGAAACCAAAACCAAGTAATGATACTGTTGGAATATCTCACCAATAGGAACGGGTTAAAGAATCAACCAAGGCCTGCAAAACATGTTACAGTGGTATCTCGTTTTATGGACGGGATCCGTTCTGGAGGTCCATTCATAACATGAAAAGCCCGCAACTCGAAGTGCCGTGTCTGTGCAGGTGTGTGGCATGATTTAGCATTTCTGTGCATGTGTGAGTGGTAAAACCCAGAAGCAACCCATTCTGGTACTTCTGCGTTGCCACGGGATACAACCTGAAAAGACGCAACATGAAGCGGACGCAACACGAGGTATGACTGTACTAGTTTTTCTGCATAAGGTGAATCTTCCAAGACTTTTGAACTCTCAAAGAGAAGAAAAGCAGCAGTTTGCAAGTGTTCCTTATAGCCACTGGGTGCTGTTGACCAGATAAGTGGCTATTTGGAAGCTTGCATTGAATGTCTTGTTCAGAGTTTGACATGATCGTAATTATTCATCTAAAAAGGTAAAGGGACCCTGACCATTAGGTCCAGTCGTGACCGACTCTGGGGTTGCGGCGCTCATCTCGCTTTATTGGCCAAGGGAGCCGGCGTACAGCTTCCTGGTCATGTGGCCAGCATGACTAAGCCGCTTCTGGAGAACCAGAGCAGCGCATGGAAACGCTGTTTACCTACCCGCCAGAGCGGTACCTATCTATCTACTTGCACTTTGACGAGCTTTTGAACTGCTAGGTTGGCAATAGCAGGGAGCGAGCAATGGGAGCTCACCCTGTTGCGGGGATTCAAACCGCCGACCTTCTGATCGGCAAGTCCTAGGCTCTGTGGTTTAACCCACAGTGCCACCCGCGTCCCTAATCATTCATCTAGCCATGTTTAAAGAAATAAAAGGCAAACAAGGTGCTATCCTATTCATATGGATAAAAATTGTTGTTCTTTTTGTTATTGTCACGACTACTGCTACCCAGGGGCAGAGGAAGGGGAGTGCGGTGGGGGAGGGTCGCCCCGGGTGTCACCACTGAGGGGGGTGACAAAAGACTGGGCGGCACTCACCATGGGGCCTGCAGCGCGTCTGAGCCACGTGTCTCTCCTGGGTGGGTTGGGCACACGCAGGCTCCATGCTGCCCAAATGGCCCACCCGCTGCCTCCCCACCAGCTGTAGGGTCGCTGAGTAGGAGGAGGCAGACTCTGGAGACCCCGCAGTGCTCCACACCCCTATGGGTGGCTTGCCCTGCCCTCGCCCCACCCCTGGGCGCTCTGCCCCAAGCGCCCGAGCAGCTTCCTCTGCTGCTGCTGCTACCACTGCTATTGCTTACATGAACATGAGTGGTGTCTTGCAAAGCTCATAAGCAGGCATAGGCAAACTCGGCCCTCCAGATGTTTTGGGACTACAACTCCCATCATCCCTAGCGAACAGGACCAGTGGTCAGGGATGATGGGAATTGTAGTCTCAAAACATCTGGAGGGCCGAGTTTGCCTATCCCTGCTGATAAGCATGGCGGGTCCATAACTTGAGAAGCTTCCAATCCAAATGTAAACATGGGGAAGAAGAGATTTCTAGCTGCTTGGAGCAGCTGCATGCTGGGATCAAGAAAATATTTTTAGCAAAAAATAAATAAATCTGGAAATGGTAGCAGTTTATGCCATGCCACCAGTTGTGGAGAGAAAATGCTGGTTTTCCCATCATGGGGCAGATTAGGCTGAAATAAGTCATGCTTGCTGCCCCAACCACACCTTTATTTGATGGTGGGTCAGTGGTGGGGTACATTCATTGCACAGGGAAAAGGTCTTAAATTCAGTCCCTGGTTTATGCAGGTAGGGTCTGAGAAGACTCCTGTGTGGAAATCTGGACAGCTGATTTCAGTCCAATTAGGCAATACTGAACTAATTGGAAGATCAACTAGCACATAAGGCAACACCACTTGCTACCTCTTTCAGGTCCTGTCTAGATAGATAATTGCATGCAATATCTAGATAACAGGCTATTGACTTCGGGCTGTAACTTCCTTATGAATCCTTTCCCAATTATCTAGGAAAATATTTGCACAATTATGCTAATATTCAACTGCAGCAAAAACAAAAGCAAAGCACCCACGCCATGCTGTGACATGTTCATCTTTGCCCTATAAGTACAAGGACTGCTCTAACATCTCTACATCCTGTCAACTCTTGAAACGCTATCTAATTTTTCAGCCATGAAGATCTTTGCTCTTTTCACAGCTGTTCTCTTCTTTGTGCTGATGGCTGCTCCAGGTAACGGTATTTATTTATTTAAAAATACAGTCAAATCTCAGTTGTCGAACACAATCCATTCTGGAAGACAATTCGATTTCCGAAACGTTTGACAACTGAGGCATGGCTTCTGATTGCAAGAGCTTCTTGCACTCAAGCAGAAGCCGCGTCGGACGTTCGGGTTCTGAAAAATGTTCAAAAACCAAAGTATTTACTTCTGTGTTTTTGGTGTTCGGGAGCCGAAACGATCAAAAACAGAGCCGTTCAAGAACTGAGGTTTGACCATACAGTGGTACCTCGTTTTGAGTCCGGGTTCCGTTCCAGAGCCCTGGACGCTTGGCGAAAGGGACTCTCGACAAAGCACCGCTCTGAGCACAAGAGTGAGCAGTTTTGTGCTTTTGCGCATGCGTGAAGCGTGATTTAGTGCTTCTGCATGTGTGCAAGTGGCAAACCCAGAAGTAACCCATTCTGGTACTTCCAGGTTTGCTGCGGATGTTCCACGAAATGGACGCTAAACGGGGCGGACTCACAACGAGGTACTACTTAATTGACAAACCACTTGATTACAATAAAGCACAAGGCAGTTGCATTGAGGATCACCAAATTGTGACTATGTAGCATGGTGGGTGAGCAATGCCCTTCCCCACAACATTTAACTTCCACTGTTTCACCCCTCCTGAAAACATTTCACTTACATCATGCGTATGCAGTCTGTTAAGGATACAGTGGTGCCCCGCAAGACGAATGCCTCGCAAGACGAAAAACTCGCTAGACGAAAGGGTTTGCCACTTGCACACATGCAGAAGCGCTAAATCACGCTTCACGCATTTTCCGGGTTTTCTGTTTTTTGAGTCGTTCCGCAAGACGAATTTCCCTATGGGCTTGCTTCGCAAGACGAAACGTCTTGCGAGTTCTTGCGAGTTTGTTTCCTTTTTCTTAAAGCCGCTAAGCTGTTAATAGCCGCTAAGCCGTTAATAGCCGCTAAGCCGCTAATAGCCGCTAAGCCGCTAATAGCTGTGCTTCGCAAGACGAAAACACCGCAAGACAAAGAGACTCGCGGAACGGATTAATTTCATCTTGCGAGGCACCACTGTACGTTGCTCCAAAACAATGAGCTGCTTTCTGATTTTAACATTTTTATATCATTTTTTTCTTGTATGGTTTTACATACAATATTTGTAAATGGCCCTGATATATATATTTATATATAGTGGTACTTTGGGTTACAGATGCTTCAGGTTATGCGATTTCGGGTTGTGCACCGCGCGGAACCCGGAAGTACTGGAATGGGTTACTTCCGGGTTTTAGCGTTCGCGCATGCGCAGAAAAACTAAATCGTGCTTTGCGCATGCACAGAAGTGCCGAATTGTGACCCGCGTGTGTGCAGACGCTGTGCTGCGGATTGCGAATGCTGCAGGTTGTGAACGTGCCTCCTGCATGGATCACGTTCGCAACCCAAGGTTCCACTGTATAAATATAAATTTATATGTGAATGGCCCTGATATATATATTTATATATAAATATAAATATTGGGATAGATTCCTTTATAAATGAATTAATAAGTGATAAAAAATATGTCTGTGCCTGGGAAGTCCATTGAATGCACAGAAATCATTCCCTTGTTATTGGGGTGGTTTCCAATAGGGGAAGGGGTCACCCAAGTTCAGTATGAGAGGGAGGAAGTAGGAATTGCACCCACATGTTACAGGCTAGGGTGCCCCTGTCCGGTGCTCCAGCCGCAGCCCCTTCTATTAAGTTGGCTACAGTCGTATTGCCACCCACCAGCTGAGTCTTCTATTAGCAGGAATGACAATGAGAACACAACTTGTTCTTTCTTTTTCCTACAGCACTTGCGCAGAAGTCAGAGGCAGAATGTCACAGGTTGGGTGGCAGCTGCCATAATGGCTTTTGCCCAATAGGCAAAATTCACAAGGGACATTGTGGTAACCCAAAAAGATGGTGCTGCAGAAAATAGGTAAGAATTCTAGATGCACCCCCTGCCCTGCTGTCAGGATTGTTTTTTCCATTGGTTCTTTTTATCTAAGCCAATTTGGAGAAGTCCCAGTCCAAGCCAAAACCCGGGCTGGCTTTTAAGACATGTTAATGTATCCAGCTGCGACGTGGGTGGCGCTGTGGGTTAAACCACAGAGCCTAGGGCTTGCCAATCAAAAGATCGGCTGTTCGAATCCCTGCGATGCGGTGAGCTCCCGTTGCCCGGTCCCTGCTCCTGCCAACCTAGCAGTTCAAAAGCACGTCAAAGTGCAAGTAGATAAATAGGTACCGCTTCCGGCAGGAAGGTAAATGGCGTTTCCGTGCGCTGCTCTGGTTCTCCAGAAGCGGCTTAGTCATGCTGGCCACATGACCCGGAAGCTGTACGCCGGCTCCCTCGACCAATAAAGCGAGATGAGCACCGCAACCCCAGAGTCGGTCACGACTGGACCTAACAGTCAGGGTCCTTTACCTTAATGTATCCGGCAGGAGAATAAGAATAGCATATTTGCATACAGAACACAATAAGTAGGACTACTGCTGGCCAGAGTGAAAAAATAGCTTGGCATGTTCTTGTGCCTGTTACACGTGCCTGATCTGTAAGAAATCAGGGCTACCTGAAGACTATCAGAAATCAGAATGAATTGCTTTTGGTCATGCTAAGCTTAACAAGTGCAGAACCAGTGGGTAGCTAAAGCCTTTCAATCACTAACCACCCATTAAAAAAATTAATGGCCTTGACATAGTGTATTATGTTTAGAGAAGGGGTAGATACAAATTTCAAGTCATTCTGTATCTTTAATGAGGAAACAACAAATTCTGCTGGTGAAAACGTATTCAAAGCAGAAGAGGCTGATCTGTGTTCTTCCAGATGTTGCCAGTTTCCAACTCTTCCATCACCCTTGTCCCCCTGCCATGCTGGCTGTTGGGGCCATTGGGAGGAAGAGTCTAACAACATCTGGCAGGCTAGAAGATCCCCATCTCATTTTAAGGATAAATAACGTATCAATATATTTCCCCTCTTTCTCTTTGTATTTAAATATGTGTTTGTGTTTTTGAGCTGTATGCGTTCAGCTTTTTAGCCCTGTTTACAGCATTAAAAACTGCAGAATCTGACAGTGTTTTTCTCTTTGGTGCAGATAACCTCAAGATGTTGTCTACTCACAGTGGATTTCAGGGTAGCTTGAACATTTGATGATAATGCTTTATCTGATTTGCCTTCAGCTTTTAATGGAGCTGATTCTATGGTGATTGTTAAATAAAAATAAAGACAATGTATTTGAGCATCTATATTTTTTGTGTGTTTGTGTATTGAAGAAGTAGATTGTCAAAGAGATCTTTTCGTGGTGCAGATGTAGAGAAATTCACACTTCTCTGAATATTGCAATGTGGTTTTCTTGCTGAGTTATGTCTACAAAAAATGCAGTTATTAGGGGAAATTGCATTGCAAGGATGTCTATATTAGACAAGATTACATACAGAAATCTGCATAGTGGGGAAAATATGCATTTAAATGTTGATGAATTTTCATGAGGACGTTTAAGAAATGCAAAGCAGTTTGGAGAACTGATCTTTAGATTAGGAAAATGAGCAACTGAGGAAAACTGAAATTAATAGGTGCAGGCTAATGACAATTGTAGTCTCAACCATTTTGAGGGTGTCAGATTGCCTACTCCAATTGAAGGCACCAGCAGGTTGCCACCTTCCAAAAAAACAACCTCAAGCATCTTTGTTGTTAGGAACAACACTTTAGCTTTATAGAAGCCTTTGCTAATTTCTCAAAGGATATACACAGAATCTCATAATACTGAAATCAACCCTGCAGGGGAGCCCAAAAATTACATCAACCTCATCAGGCAGTTAAACCCTGGAACATAGATGGGTGTTGGGGATGCTTGAGACTGACAAATACAGTGGATGCTCGGGTTGTAAATGTGATCCGTGTGGAATGCATGTTCGCATCCCGCAGCGTTCACAACCTGTGTCTGCGCGTCTGTGCATGTGTGGGTTGCGATTTGGTACTTCTGCACATGCACGACCGCCGAAACCTGGAAGTAACCCATTCTGGTACGTCCGGGTTTCGGCGGTCTGTAACCCGAAAAAAACGCAACCTGAAGTGTCTGTAACCCGAGGTATGACTGTAGTAGCTTTAGCCAGGTCAGTTCATGGCTTAACTGATATTTGGAATCAGGACAACCTACATATAATGCATGGCTGTAACCTCTATGCTATACAGTAGCCAATGCAGCTGGCTTCACAATTCGGGATTGGAAGAGGGCAAGGTGGGTTTGTTGACACCTTGTTGCCTCACAAGAAGGACTTTGCAACTAAACTGACGGTTGGCTCCAAATACAATGGTACCTCTGGTTACGAACTTAATTCGTTCCGGAGGTCCGTTCTTAACCTGAGGTACCACTTTAGCTAATGGGGCATCCAGCTGATACCACACGATTTCTGTTCTCATCCTGAGGTAAAGTTTTCAACCCGAGGTACTACCTCCGGGTCAGCGGAGTCTGTAACCCAAAGTGTTTGTAACCCAAGGTGTTTGTAACCCTAGGTACCACTGTATGCCCCGAGCTCAAACCAACTTGAGTTCATCCAGAAAACACTAAACAAATTCCTCTCCTTCTCCAAAGGGGAAGCAATCCTCAGAGGTCACCTCAACCTAAATATGAGAGGCATCTCCCTGAAAGACACCCACGCTACAACCCCAATGGGCAACCTCAAACAATCAGGGACTCCGAGTCCAATATGACGGAGTGTGAGAAAAGGGCTGGAAGTGAAACTAATATTGTCCATCAAAGTGTAACTCCGCCTACCCTCCAACTGTCCCACTTTGAGCAGAACATCACAGGTCAAGGGAAGTCATTCCTGTTTCAAATCCTGGGTGTCCTGCTTCTGCCGCCGTGAGATCTTGTCCTCTGCAGGGCCTCAGCCAAGGCTGCTAGAATCATAGAATCATAGAGTTGGAATAGACCACAAGGGCCATCAAGTCCAACCCCCTGCCAAGCAGGAAACACCATCAGAGCACTCCTGACATATGGTTGTCAAGCCTCTGCTTAAAGACCTCCAAAGAAGGAGACTCCACCACACTCCTTGGCAGCAAATTCCACTGTCGAACAGCTCTTACTGTCAGGAAGTTCTTCCTAATGTTTAGGTGGAATCTTCTTTCTTGTAGTTTGGATCCATTGCTCCGTGTCTGCTTCTCTGGAGCAGCAGAAAACAACCTTTCTCCCTCCTCTATATGACATCCTTTTATATATTTGAACATGGCTATCATATCACCCCTTAACCTCCTCTTCTCCAGGCTAAACATGCCCAGCTCCCTTAGCCGTTCCTCATAAGGCATCGTTTCCAGGCCTTTGACCATTTTGGTTGCCCTCCTCTGGACACGTTCCAGTTTGTCAGTGTCCTTCTTGACACCTGATTTACTTCAGGATGCTGGGCTGCACTTCAAGAAGTGCACTTCCAGATGTGCCCCCCACCCACTCAAGCTGCCTCGGCCCACTGCTACTGGTGCCCCTCCCCACCTTCTATTTGTTGTAGGGTTGCCATATTTCTAGAAATAAAATTCAGGACACAAAAGTAGCTGAGCTTTTCTTAGCTTTGCCCAAAGTTGTTGAGCTATTTTTAAAGGAAATCCGCCAAAATTTACACTTGCAACATGGGTTGCCCTACGTCTTCATGAAACTCAAAGTGGTTAATTTTTTTTTAAAAAAGGAAACTCTTTTTTAAATGCTGGACATTTTGAAGATTTTTCAAAATCCCCCCCTCCCCGGCTCTCTTCTTCACCCCCCCATTTTTCATTTCACTTTAAATTTGCACGCCGTCTTTCCGTATTGCGATACACAAGGCGATTCTCAAGTTGAAGAAACAACGAAACAGACAGCGAAGATCACACACCTGATAACGGTGTGATCGAATTCAAAGAAGTCATAATAAAAGCATAACTTTGAAATAAACAACTTATATCAAATAAAAGAATATTCAACAATCCATTAGAATGTAATAGTAAATAGACACTGCCCTCCTCCAGAGAAATATCCTGGCACAATGGCTCAGTCATAGCCTGAAGGGATTCAGGGTGTTGTTTTTCTTCAGCTTGATTTCCAAATATGCAAAGCAATGCTCACTTTCCTGGCATATGCTCCCGTGGTGAAATGATTATGATTTTGAAACAATCCCATCAAACACATTCAAGGGCAGGTTGAGCATTTCAATGGAGGGAGGAGAGAGATTCATGCTGTTCTCTCCTGCATGTATATCTTGTTTCCCTGCCTGACAGAAGCAAAATCTAATGCCATAATCTTCTAATTAAAGCTCAAGCAGCTGCAGACATCTGTATGACTCACCTAACATTTCATCCTCAACATCGATTTCCACTTATAAGAATTAGGTCCCATGCCCTAACATAACTCAGACTATAGCTAAGCCTAGGGATGTGTGTATTTGCCAATTTCATTTCTCTAAATTGCATTTTAAGTTTGGTTTGCTGCATTTCTGCATATATTTGCCTTAAAAAAAATCTTCATGGAGACAGTTTTGTGTTTCTTCTAACAGATGATTTTTGTACACATTTTTTTTGCCTGGTATGCACATTCTTGCAAGCAATTTCCCCACCTTTAAAGCCCTATACGGCCTAGGACCCTCGTACCTACAGGACCGTCTCTCCTGGTATGTCCCACGGAGGACCTTACGGTCTTCAAACAAAAACATATTGGAGATCCCGGGCCACAGAGAGGTTAGACTGGCCTCAACCAGAGCCAGGGCTTTTTCGGCTGTGGCTCCGATCTGGTGGAACGCTCTGCCACAAGAGATTAGGGCCCTGCAGGACCTGACATCTTTCCGCAGGGCCTGCAAGACAGAGCTGTTCCACCAAGCCTTTGGCCAGGGCACAGCCTGACTCCCTCCTTTGGCAATCTTCACAGAACTCTATCCCAATGGTTGCCATCAATTTGATTTGAAGTAATTTTTTTAATGAAATGATTTTAGAATGTTGCATTATTTTATTGTTGTTAGCTGTCCTGAGCCCTGCTGGGGCGGGATATAAATAAATTATTATTATTATTATTATTATTATTATTATTATTATTATGTGCGAATAATTCACTAATGTGCGAATAATGCATGTTTTTGTAGTTTACTTTCGCAGCAGATCATTTGGAGACCAGCTGTGATGAGCTCTTGAGACACTTTGAGGGGAATAAAGGCTTTTGACTTCATAAAAATATTGATGCCATGATTTCCCAGTTTAGGTGGCTTGAAGATGCTGGCCAGCACCCAATCCCTAGCAAGGAATTAGGTGTGTTGTGCTGCAGGGTGTACAATGTGTACACAGTATCTTCAGTTCCATAGACTCCTGCAGCCTATTCCAGTGAACATGCAAATATTGGGACTGAGCTCCCACCCACTGTGCCACTGACAGCTGGAACTAACCACCGGATAGGACATCACCATACCCATATTGCCTAAATAATGCACACATTAAGGACATGGCCCTTAACAGCCGTAGTTTCCTGGTACATTCTGGAGTTGCAGTAAATGAAGAACAAAATATGTCCAACTGGAAAGGCATTTAAGAGTCCGGGATGAACAAGTGACTTACAGGAAGAGGAGTAAAGACTTCATCCAGCAAATCAGGATGAACGCAGGATATGAAAGCTCATTGTCATACAACCACTCTGCTAATAAATCAAAATGAATGTCTCAACCAAGACCAGGTTATCAGACTATTTGGGTGTCCTTTGAATTATGAATTCATGATGCTCTGTGCTCAGGGTGGTACCAGGGCAATGTGCCCCTGTTTTCAGGGCTGTTCATGTCAGTAAAAATTTAAGGGGGAAATGCTGTGTTGTTTCCAATCAGTTCCAATCAGTTGTTTCCAACCCTGTGGCTTTTTGCTTAAATCCTGTTACTTTCCATACCGCAAATGCATACCCTCCAAGTGTTCTGATTTTCCAGGGAGTGTCAGGATTATGAAAGCTATCCTCCCGGCTTCTGATTTGATCCTGGAATGTCCCTATTTCCCCTGCTAGTGCCAGTGCCGCAGAGCTCAAGGAGGAGGATGAATCAGCACTTGTTGTGGGTGGCAGCTGCAGTGGCCGCAGCTTTGAAGGAGCCTCCCATTGCTGCTCCTTGGCCTTTTCTGCTGGCCTCTTCCCTTAGGCATAGTGGCTGCTGGACCGCAGGTGAGGAGGAGGAGAGGTTGTGACTTTGTCTTTTTTTTATTTGTTTCTTATCTTTGCTACTTCTTTATTTTTTTCTTTTTCTCTTTCTTTATAAATTTTCTATTTTATATTATTTTCTTTTTTTCTACCTGTTCAGAGATAGTACATAATATTTGTATAGACATGCAAATATTTTAATCAACAAAGAATATTAATAATAATAATTTATGCATTGATGTCTTCCTTCCTTCCTTCCTTCCTTCCTTCCTTCCTTCCTTCCTTCCTTTCTTTCTTGATAATTTTTATTAAAGATGTTCTCGGGTTACAAAACTGCATGCATCACCTCTATTTTCATGTCTTTTCAACAAGATCAGTTACATTTGGCGTGAGACATTAATGTTGGATACAGTATAAGATTGGGGCAGAAGAGAGATGGGGAGAGGGAACAAATTTCTATTCATTCATTGTGCTTTTCTTCTTGTAAATCTGCCGAAGAATAAAATAAAATAAAACCAGGATTAAGGGGGTTTCTCTGAGGGGTGGGGGGCGCGTGCTCTGTGCCCCGTTGGTGTACTGGCGGTGGCACTTGCCCTCCCTCTGGTAGGAAATGCTCTGTAGGGGGGGCTGGGGGGGACAGAAAAAAGGGGAAGGGTCAATGAGAGTCAGATGGAGGGGGGGAGTGAGAATGCCAGGTGTGGAGCAGAGGCAGAAAAACAGACATCGAAAGGATAGCATAACCTCCCTAAGGAAGGTTGGAGGTTATGAAAATGTTCCAGGGAGTTGTTGTTGTCATGAAGTAGTGATACTGTCAGCAAGTATCGCTGGGTGGGGCCCCTCAGGCAGGTGGTAACAATTAGTCCCCAAAATGGGAGCAGATGATGATGATGATGATGATGATGATAATTTACTTGTACCCCCAACTATCTGGCTGGGTTTCCCCAGCCACTCTGGGCAGCTTCCAACAAAGATTTGTTGTTTAGTCATTTAGTTGTGTCCGACTCTTCGTGACCCCATGGACCAGAGCACTCCAGGCACTTCTGTCTTCCACTGCCTCCCGCAGTTTGGTCAAACTCATGCTGCTGGCTGCGAGAACACTGTCCAACCATGTCATCCTCTGTCATCCCCTTCTCCTTGTGCCCTCCATCTTTCTCAACATCTGTTATGTTCTGAGGCCAAAGGAAAGGACCGGAACCTGATTAAAATAAGACACGAGGCTTTGACCGGCAAGGCTCTCGGAGGAAGTGCATAAAACCACACCCCTAACCAGGCCATTTTATTAACAAAAGAATCCTTCACACAGTGCTCGTGAGAACCAATTATATTTCCTCTGAGCATTTCATCAAACCCCACATGGGAACAAAGTTGCACTACAGCACTAATTAGCATGCATACCCCGCAGGTGAGAAATATACATGATAAGAAGGATGGCCAGAAAGACAGGATCATTATCACCTTCATGTGAGATCTGTTTCCTGGCTCCAAGATTAACATCTTGAGATTAACATATTAGAAAAGCTACATCAAAGAAACTGCCCATAGTCTTAGATGACCCAGGACGCCTGCCTGTCTGTCAGTGTACATGACTTGTCAAGAAAGAGAAATGGAACAGGGATGCAGAGGTGTGGATTGATCAAGAATCATATCAAAATAGTTTAAACCCAGTCAACGCAATGCTTTCATTGCTGACACAGATGGCTTACTCTATATTTGTTATAATTCCTCATAGCAATCCCACCTGATCACTACAAACATCAGGGTCTTTTCCAGGGAGTCTTCTCTTCTCATGAGGTGGCCAAAGTATTGGAGCCTCAGCTTCAGGATCTGTCCTTCCTGTGAGCACTCAGGGCTGATTTCCTTAAGAATGGATGCGTTTGATTTTCTTGCAGTCCATGGGACTCTCAAGAGTCTCCTCCAGCACCAACAAAGATTAAGAATACATTAAAATCAGGCTGCCAGCCTTCCGTGGCCCCATAAATCTTCGAGTAACTTGCCGAGAGGAGGGAGAGAGCACGTCGTAGATTAGACTGCCGTTTGATGCCTGTAGCTGGTGCCAGAGAAGAACTCAGTAAAGCCTGATAGCCCGTTCAGTGCCTATGTGTGTTATTAGAAGCTTGAAGGGGCGGCTCAGGAAAGCGATCTCCTGCTTGACAGTTTTGTTGTGCTGGAATCTCGCCTCCAGATGGTAGCATTGCCATCGCACTGAAAGACGACGTGAGGCAAACCGAAATATGGGTCTTCTGTTCTGGAAGAGCATTCAACTTGCAAAACGTTCGACAATCAAGGTGCGGCTTCCAATTGGTTGCAAGAGCTTCTTGCACTCAAGCGGAAGCTGTGACAGATGTTTGGGTTCCAAAAAATGTTTGAAAACCGGAGCATTTACATCTGGCTTTTTGGCGTTCAGGAGCCAAAACGTTTCAAAATGAAGCCGTTCGTGAACTGAGGTTTGACCGTAACAGGTTATACTTATTAAAACATTAAAAGAGGATCTGTTGATCAACATAAAGAAACCTATTGCCCAATCAAACAAGTCTGGGCAAGTGAGCTGGGGTAATAGGCTGATCTAATCAATCCCATTTCATGACGCATGCAGCAAGGTTTGACAAATAAGCCAATCATAACATGTAACATGGCCCAGCTGACCCACATTCACCCTGATGCACCTGACAGGCCAAAGCCCAAACCGGCTCAGATATTAATCTGATAGTTTCTTAAGTCTACCCAGCCACCCAGACCAAATGTCAAGAAGCCAAATTCTTAAGCACCACTCCAGTCATACAGACAACAGTGTAAAGTTGGCAAAAAAAGAGGAGACATAGGCTGATTGGTGTCCCTCCCCCAAATTCCCCCCCACCAACAATTAGCAAAACCCATACAGCTGGTGGCGCTGTGGGTTAAACCACAGAGCCTAGGACTTGCTGATCAGAAGGTCGGCAGTTCGAATCCCTGTGACGGGGTGAGCTCCCATTGCTCAGTCCCTGCTCCTAGCAGTTTGAAAGCACGTCAAAGTGCAAGTAGATAAATAGGTACAGCTCCAGCGGGAAGGTAAATGGCGTTTCCGTGTGCTGCTCTGGTTCGCCAGAAGCGGCTTAGTCATGCTGGCCACATGACCTGGAAGCTGTACGTCGGCTCCCTCGGTCAATAAAGCAAGATGAGCTCTGCAACCCCAGAGTTGGCCATGACTGGACCTAATGGTCAGGGGTCCCTTTACCTTTATACAGCTAGAACAGGAGAGTGGGGGTCACAAGTAGAAGGGTGAATGCAGTGTAGAGAGGCTTAAATTCTGGAAGTATAAGGTGGAATGATGCATGGATGGTTCGGTATAAACCCACCACCAATGAACTATTGACATGTTGCAGGATATATCTGCAAAGAAACCAAAACCAAAGCCAATGTAGAGGGGCCAATACTCTAAACTCGGCTTTGTGTAAGCAAATCTGCATGGTTGTTGAATGAATGGGTCAGCTGGAGGGACCAGGAAAGAAACTAAAATTGACCAATTTAGACCCCCCTCCCTCCCATCCTTTGCATTCTGTTGTAGTGTGTGTGTGGGGAGGGGAGTTGTGGGGGAGATGGGAATGATATGCAAAGGCCCCCACCAAGAGCAGGGAGTGGGTGAGAAGAAGTTCAATTTTTCGGCGATCAGCCTCCTTTATGGTCCAGCTCTCACTTCCATACGTCACTACTGGGAAAACCATAGCTTTAACTATATGGACCTTTGTTTGCAAGGTGATGTCTCTGCTTTTTAAGATGCTGACTAGGTTTGTCATTGCTCACCATTCATCTATGTCTGCTTTTAAAAATTAAAGGCTAACAAGATGTTAACCACTTGTTATCTCATGTGGATGAGAACTGCTGTTCTTGTTACTGCTGCTACTACTAATACTGCTGCTACAACGCCAACATGAACGGGGCCTTACACAGCTCAGGTCCCTAACCTGAGAAGCTTCCAATCCAAATATCAACATGGAGAAGATGAAATTTCTATCTGCTTGGAGCAGCAGGAAAGGGAGGTGCTTGGCAAAATATTTGTGTGTGTTTGTGTGTGCGTGTGTGTGTGCGCAAAAAACCCCCTCTGGAAATTGCCACCATTTATGGCATGCGACCATTTCCTGCATTGAGAGAAAAAGATGGCTGCCCCCAATCGTGGTGGAATACAGTCTTTGCCGTGTCTCAGTTCTCCAAAGGACCATTGACCATGGGTAGGCAAACTAAAGCCTGGGGGCCGGATCCAGCCCAATCGCCTTCTAAATCCGGCCCGCGGATGGTCAGGGAATCTGCATGTTTTTACATGAGTAGAATGAGTTCTTTTTATTTAAAATGCATCTCTGGATTATTTGTGGGGCATAGGAATTCGTTCATATTTTTTTAAAAAATATAGTCCGGCCCCCAACAAGGTCTGAGTGACAGTGGACCGGCCCCCTGCTGGAAAAATTTGCTGACCCCTGACATAGACCCTGGTTGAGTGCCTGGAACTCCTTGGAAACTTGCTGCAGCTCAGCAGAGAGTGCATGTGGCACCTAACTTTTGTAACAATATGCTGCCTTATCTCCATGCCCTATTTAGATAATTACACGTAATGATATTTTTATAATATTGTTTTCGTGCATGAGGATAGTTAATTACATTTAAGGTCAATAACTGGCTGTCGTATTGGGGCTATGCGTTCCCTAGAAATACTTTCCAAGTAACTAGGGATATACTTGCATAATAATACCATCATTAGATTGCAGCAACCCACAACAAGCAGCACCCACAAGATCTTCATACCATGATATGAACACTCCCCTTTGCCCTATAAATACAAGGACCTTTCAAGCACCTCTCCATCCTGCCGTCTCCTGACACCCCATTCAATTGTTCAATCATGAAGATCTTTGCCTTCCTTACAGCTGTTCTCTTCTTTGTGCTGATGGCTGCTCCAGGTGAGTTTTCAATTGACGATCCCCGAATGTGGACGTCGGGAGGGTATGTAGCTGCTTCTTCCGTGCTCTGCTGCATGGTGGACCACCAATGGGCTCCTAGATGTCCCATCAGCCTCAGTCAGCATAGCCACAGTCCAGTCCGGGAGGTTGGGAGGTTGGGAGAGTCCAGCAGCAACTGGAGACCCATAGATTGCCTGTACCTGCTCTATAGGAACCAGGCTAGTAAGTAATATTTCCAAGTCTTAGATAGGGAGCCCTTACTCCCATGAGGACAGTCCCAGGAGATCAACATTCTCAAGCTCAAGCATGCCTTACAGTTAATAAATTTCCACTCTTTCACCAATGTGCATAAGACAAATCTTGCATTTTCCTAGTTCTGTAAACCACCCAGAGTGCAGTGCTTTGATTGATTGATTGATTGATTTGATTTGATTTATATACTGCCCTTCATCATAAGATCCCAGGGTGGTTCATAGAATAAAATACAGGATGAAAACAAGTAAATAATTAAAATCAAACCAGTAAAACAATAAGCCTTCCCCTTCCCACATGCCCATTTAAAAGGTTGGTTGAACCAAAGGCCTGGTTGAAGATGAATGTTTTTGCCTGATGCCTAAAACTACATGTTGTTGTTTAGTTGTTTAGTCGTGTCCGACTCTTCGTGACCCCCTGGACCAGAGCACGCCAGGCACTCCTGTCTCCCACTGCCTCCCGCAGTTTGGTCAAACTCATGCTGGTAGCTTCGAGATCACTGTCCAACCATCTCGTCCTCTGTCGTCCCCTTCTCCTTGTGCCCTCCATCTTTCCCAACATCAGGGTCTTCTCCAGGGAGTCTTCTCTTCTCATGAGGTGGCCAAAGTATTGGAGCCTCAGCTTCATGATCTGTCCTACATAATGTCCTACAAAACTACATAGTGAGGGTCAAAACCAGCATTTTGAGTTGGGCCCAGAAGCTAATTAGTAGCCAGTGCAGTCAGGCTAGGATTAGAGACCCTCCAAGTGTCCCTGTTTTCCATGGACATCCCTGATCTTGATCATCCGGATTTCTCCTTTGTTCCCAGAATGTCCCACTTTTCCTTAGGATGTCCCTATTTTCCCTGGAGAAATGTTGGAGGTTATGGAGTTATCCAACCCCCGAGCCATTTGAAGGCAATCCTGTACAGGGGAGGTTTTTTTAATTTTTTTTTTTAATGTTTTATTACGTTTTATGTATGTTGGAAGCTGCCCAGAGTGGCTTTTCTTCCAAGTTGCTCAAGTGATCTTCAGGTTATTGTTTTCTTATTAGGAGAAAAACCCCTTCCAATCTGCATATGCGTGTGTTGCTGAGAAGTCCCCTGAGTAAGCTTACCAGGGGTCAGCAAAATTTTTTAGCAGGGGCCTGGTTCACTGTCCCTCAAACTTGTGGGGGGCTGGACTATATTTTGAAAAAAATATATGAATGAATTCCTATGCCCCACAAATAAACCAGAGATGCATTTTAAATAAAAGGACACATTCTACTCATGTAAAAACACACTGATTCCCGGATCATCTGCAGGCCAGATTTAGAAGGCGATTGGGCTGGATCCAGCCCCCGGGCCTTAGTTTGCCTACCGATGGCTTAAACCATTCCTGTGTTTGGGGTGGTGGTGGTTTCCAATAGGGAAGGGGTCACTCATGTTGAGTATAAGAGGGAAGATGTGGGGCTTGCACCCACATGTTACAGGCTGGTGTACACCTGTTCAGTTTCCTGGCCAGCCAGCTATGGCCCCTTCTATTATTTTGGCTACTGTCCTGTTGGCACTCACTAGCTGAGTCTGCTATTAGCTGGAGTGGTGATGAAAATGCAGTTCTTTTCATAGCTGTCAACTTACAGATTTGAAAATAAGGGACCAGCAGCCAAAATAAGGGATTTTAGTCACTCAGCTGAAATACGAATTTAAAAGGGACCAGATAATTTTGGAGAGAAGTGCTGGTTTTTAGCTCTTCATTTCCAGAGGTTGTTGCTCAAGACACCAGCCGATGAAACACTGCAATTAAATAACTACAAGCAGCAACCACTTTTCGCGCAAAATGAAGTCCAAGCTACGAAGATGCTGCTGCAGTTCTGTATCTTTTCTCTTGTGCTCCACCTGCAGCTCTCAATTCCATCAGGTGGGGCGGGAGGAAGGGGGGGGGAATAGCGCCTGAAGTAAACCCGCAGATCAGACCATCTATGCTAGTCTACCACTACAAATCTATGGGAGAAGCGCTTGCGGTCCTTCCCTTGTAGCCCTTGGAACACCTGCCCACGCCTCCGCCTCCTCCTCTTCCTCCTCTCTCTGAACTGCTTTCTCTATGGTTGCCCTTGCTCTCCTCTCAAGGCTCCTCAGTAATTCATAGGCCATGCGAGGCTGCCCATTTCATCCGGGTCCTTTGGCGGCACAGCCGCAGTATGGCCTAGCGGGAGTGGCAGCGACGAGCAGAGGGGAGGCCCCAGGCAGAGACACTCAGTTCGGCGGCTGCGAGGAAGATGGCTGCGGAAGGCCCCGAGGCTCCTGCCAGTCCTAGCGGGGAGGGACTCCCAGGGGCTGAGGCTGGTGAGAGGAGGCCAGAGGGGGGCGGGCCAGGTAGCCAAGCAACACAGTTTGAGCCTCCCTCCTCCCTGGCCGGCAGGGAGGGAGGGAGGGAGGGAGAGGAGCTGCTTCCTTTGAAACCCAGGAAATTTAAGGGACATCCATCAGTAAGGGACAGCAGTGGGACATGGCGCTGGGATAAGGGATTGTCCCTCCAAATAAGGGACGCTTGACAGCTATGGTTCTTTTATTCCTTTTGGTATAGCACTCGCGTGGCCAAAGACATATAGTGAATGTTATCGTGCCCATGGCAGCTGCCACCATTCTTGCCCACACCATACACGACAAATTGGAGAGTGTGCACGCCATGTACGTTGCTGCAAATAAGGGGTAAGGATTCCAGAAAAAGTGTTTGTCCTATTGTCAACATTGTTTTGTCTGTTGGTTCTCTCTATATAAGCCTGTTTGGAGCAGCCTCAGTACAAGCCATAATCCCAGCTGGCTTTTAATAAATATCAATGTATCCCACAGGAAATAAGAGCAGCATATTTTTTCCTGTTCAGCACATGAAATATACTCGGAGTCGAGAGTAGATTTCATGCTCTTTATTCAGCTCATAGTAGTGAGGAGGAATGAATGTTCCCCCTAAATATCTGCTTTATATACAGTATTTACACAATGGGCTGCATGTGATTGGCTAATTCTGGGATTCTCCTGTAGGCCAATCAGGTTGTGGATTCACTTCCACCTGGAGCTGGATTGGGTGGCTCCTGTGGACCAATCATACTGCTGCATTGTTCTAGGACCAATCAGACTGCTGCATTTTGGATCCTATTCAACTCAGCACATAACAACACAATAAGTAGGGAGGCTGCTAACTAGAAGGAAAAATAGATTGGTGTGTTCTTGTGCCTGTAACAGATGTTGAAGATATCAAATATTGTGCAGTTTGAAGTGACTGGAAGCAGAAGAACTAACTCCTTTGGAAGGGAAGCATTGTCCAGACCCATGAAAGCATTATTCAAAGTTTTACTGGCAGAACTTTCTTTAAAACAGAATTAAAACATCAAAAATATCCATAAAATATCTTGTGCTGGCCAGCACAGGTTCAGCATCTTGCAAAATATGAAAATAATAATAAGCAAACCTCACCCTGCCCGCCCTCTCAGCTGCTTTGGAGCCTCCAGGCTCCCCCTTTGTTCAGGAGAGCTATTTACTTGCATTGTTCTCCCAGTAGCACCCAGAGACCTCCATTTGCATCTGAGTTTGGGAGACAAAGAATCAGAGGCAACTCCTTTCAAAATCAAGAATGCAACCCAATACCTCTTGCATGTTCCCAGGTTTACAACCCTCACATGTTAGCTACCAGAGAACAACAGTCAGTTTGTTAATCATCAACTCTGCAAGGAGCTCGGAGTTATTTAGAAAACTCTTTTGGAAAACCCCGAGTGTTAGCAATACACTTTTGGGTATTTTCCATTTTAAACCTCCATCAATACATATACATCTTTCATTTCTGTGTGAATTAAACCATTATACTTAACAACAGATGCCTCATTTGTATGAATCACAAGCTGTCCTTCACTGACTGCCTCAACACTTCATCAATGAAGGATGCTTGGAGGAGAAATTGACTCACTGTGAGTTGATGATGCTTTCTGAAATATTGGTGCTAAACTGCAGCACAGAGCCGTAAGACTGGTATATTTCTAGCTATTCTGTATTTTTAATGAGGAAGCAACAAATCACCTTGCTCAGAAGTTATTCAAATCAGGAGATGCTGACCTGTGCTTCTCCAGATGTTCTCAGCTTACAGATCTCCATCACCTTTGACAATTTCTTATGTTGGGGCCAATGGTGGAGTTGAGTTCAACAATATCTGGAGGACCACAGGTTCTCGACCTCTGATTTAAATAAAATAACTATACACCCCCCTTTCTTTATATTTATGTATATGCTCCTTGTTTCGCTTTGTTTGTGTTAAGTTTTTAAATCTTTATTATCTACATAATTCCACATTAAAGACTCCGGAATCTGAAAGTGTTTTTCTCTTTGCTGCAGATAGTGCCAGGGCTACTCACAGCGGATTTCAGCGTTACTTCCATGGCTTGAACCCTCATAGACCCAGCTTATCTCGCTCTACAATCCCGTCTCCTGATTTGCTGTGCTTTTAATGGAGCTGATTCTGTATTGAATTGTCCGTGTTAATTAAAAAAGCATGTATTCTAGCAGCTATATTATTGGTGCCTCTGTATTTTGGAGAAGTAGTTTGTGGAGGAGATTTTTTCACGGTGTATCCTAGGAAGACCCAGTCAGTAGAGCATGAGATTCTTAACCTCAGGGTTGCGGGGTTTGAACCCCACATCAGGCAAAACATTTCTTCATTTCAGGAGGTTGGACTAGATGACCCTTGTGGTCCCTTCCAACTGTACAATTCTATGATTCTATGAGTTTACCTAAGGGACCAGCTACTTTTCCAAAGTTTGTCCTGCTAAGATAGGGATGGACAACATGATACCTTCCTACCACCCCCATCATCTCTGATCATGTGCATGTAAGCACCACTTTTCTCCGATGAAAATAGTGACGTCCAATCTAATAATAATAATAATAATAATAATAATAATAATAATAATAATAATAGTAATAATATCCTGCCCATTAGGACGGTTCATAAAAAACTTTTTTTTAAAAATGCCTGCTCCAAAGGTCTTATCTTACTACACTAGGGATTATATAGCTATACCTGAAATTTCATGCATATCAGTTAATATATTGACCCTCCTCTACGAAAATAGCTGTTTACTTGGCCATTTTCCTGTGTCATAAAGGCTGAAATTTCAATTCAGTGGAGCAGGGTCAAGATATTAACTGATATGCATGAATATGATATGCTCCAGCCACTCTGGGTGGCTTCCAACATACATAAAAACATAATAAGACATTGAACATAAAAAATTTCCCTATTCAGGTCTGTCTTCAGATGTCTCATGAAGGTTGGATGGTTACTTATCTCATCACAACTCTCAACACACTTAACAAACTAGTCAAAACAAAAAAAATTCCTTCCAGTAGCACCTTAAAGACCAACTAAGTTAGTTTTTGGTATGAGCTTTCGTGTGCATGCACACTTCTTCAGATACACTGAAAAACCAAACTAGTGTTCTCAGTAGGGTTGCCATACTTCAAACAGTGAAAATCTGGACAGAAAATGTTTTTTGCTTTTTGGGCAAAAATCGCTGTGAAAAAAAAATGCTGCTTTTGAGCTATTTTTATGGGGAAAGTGGCAAGAAAAGGCACTGCCAGATTTTCCTGGACATTTTTTTACAGATTTATGTCTGGACACTGCTGCCAACTGCAGTATTCCGGATACATCTGGGAAAATCTGGACGTATGGCAACCCCAGTTCCCAGGATGGGAATGTTGCAGAAGAAGTTAGCCCTTCTTCATCAAAGAGTTCAGAGCGAGTTTCTTTAGGAATCACCCACTGCCTCTTTCAACGTAGACCACCCTCTCACACAGCAAAGCATTAATCACACACAGTTGGTTTTCTGCCCTGGGAATTAAGTGAAGTAGTAGACATTACAAGTTAAATAAGTGGGGCCCTGTAGGAGCATTAAGTTGAGGGCAGGATGCCTCTGATTGCCATTTCCTGGGACTCACAAGTGGGGAAAATGATGCTGCAGTAAGGTCAGGCTTGTGCGCACCTGCTTGGCTGCTATGAGATGTTGGGGTAAGATCAGTGGTGGGCTCTCAAATTTCAGCAGCACCCAGTGTGATAGTAAAATTTGGCACCCCCACCTCTTGTGTTCCATTCAACATCATTGTTGTGGCACTCCCCGTGGCACCGGCACCCAGTGTGGCCAAACTGATTGCACTACAGTGGTACCTCGCAAGACGAATGCCTCGCAAGACAAAAAACTCGCTAGACGAAAGGTTTTTCCGTTTTCGATTTGCCTCGCAAGACGAATTTCCCCTATGGGCTTGCTTCGCAAGACGAAAACGTCTCGCGACTTTGTTTTCTTTGTCTAAAAACAAAGACATGTTTTGTTTATAAAGTTAATTTATTTTCCCTTCAATTTTTGAACTGCTCTTTACAGTATGTGTGACTTTAAAGAGCAGTTAATAAACTGTTGTTGTACCAAATTTGGCTTTGTTTGGACTTTTTTTGACCATAGGAACGCATTAATTGATTTTCAATGCATTCCTATGGGATTTCGTGCTTCGCAAGACGAAAAATTCGCTAGACGACAAAAATTGCGGAACGAATTAATTTCGTCTTGCAGGGCACCACTGTACCCTCAATCCACCTCTGGCAAGATGGGTCTTTGACTTGATCAAACTATGGGGTTATTCTCTAGGTCCTGAAAGGCCTACATTGGCTCCCAGTACGTTCCAAGCACAATTCAAAGTGTTGGTGCTGACCTTTAAACCCCTAAATGGCGTTAGCCCAGTATACCTGAAGGAGCAGCTCCAACCCCATCGTTCTGCCCGGACACTGAGATTTAGCGCCAAGGGCCTTCTGGCGGTTCCCTCATTGCAAGAAGTGAAGTTACAGGGAACCAGGCAGAGGGCTTTCTCGGCAGTGGCGCCCGCCCTGTGAAACACCCTCCCATCAGATGTCAAAGAAATAAACAACTATCTGACTTTTAGAAGACATCTGAAGGCAACCTTGTTTAGGGAAGTTTTTAAGATTTGATGAATTATTGTATTTTAATCTTTTGTTGGAAGCCGCCCAGAGTGGCTGGGGAGTTGTTGTTGTTATTATTATTATTATTATTATTATTAAGTAATACCCATGGCACCTTGGAAAACCTCTTTCACATTGGAAGAAATACATCACTGTGTGAAACTGTTGGTGTCTTCTGGTTTTGTTTAATGCATTGTGCACCCTCTGAAGGCTGTTCAGATGGGAATGTGACAGAAAAAGGCCCCTCCCCATTCCAACATTGCAGACCTGCACTTCATTTTTTTTTTAAATTTTTTATTAGTTTTCCAAACATGTAATAAAGACAAACAACAAAACAAAACAAAACATACACACAAATAAACATGTATAATTTCATAGACTCATTCTCCTTCACCTTGTTTCCCGGACTTCCCCATACCTCCCTTTTTCTGCATCCTTATTTTTCCCTTTTAACAGCAACCCTTCATTTCATTATTAATTCGTCTTCATTATAGCTCCCTTAAATTTATGATATACAGCTGCAATTCTCTATTTCTTAACACCATAACATCTCAGCACTCTTCGATTTTACAACAGTTTTTAAGGTATACTTTGAATTTCTTCCAATCTTCTTCCACTGTCTCTTTCCCCTGGTCACGGATTCTGCCGGTCATCTCAGCCATTCCCATGTAGTCAATCACCTTCGCTTGCCATTCTTCCAGAGTGGGTAGCTGCTGCGTCTTCCAATACTTTGCCAGAAGAATCCTTGCTGCTGTGGTAGCATACATGAAAAAGGTTCTGTCCTTCCTTGGCACCAATTGGCCCACCATGCCCAGGAGAAAAGCCTCTGGTTTTTTAAGAAATGTCCATTTAAGGACCGCAGACCTGCACTTCAAACTCCTCCTCTGTCCCTTGATGGACTGCTGTCATTCAATGGCCTATAAATAAGGAGCACCTTCTGTTCCCTCCTCAGAATCTCCAGCAAATTGATTCAGCCATGAAGTTCTCTTGCCTGATCTATGGTTTCCTCTTCCTCTTCTGCTTCTTCTCTCCCTTCCTAGTAAGGGCCACAGGTATGGTACAGGGGCATATTGCTTAGACTGTGACATGCACTGAAAGAGCTATGTGGACAGTTCAAGCCTGCTTTCCACAGGGGCCTAGTTGACCCCCCTCATATAGCAGCACCCAGCAATGTGTCCTCCTTCTTCCACATCCTGACTATATCTTTAATTAGGTTTTAAAACGCTAATTAAGCTTTAGTGTTGCCCCTGAATTTTTCTGGGGTTAGGATCCTGGTAGAGTTGGCATCATATCATTCCATATTGGATTAGGGCTGATCTAAAGTGCTGAATTATGGGACGCGGGTGGCGCTGTGTGTTAAACCACAGAGCCTAGGACTTGCCGATCAGAAGGTCAGCGGTTTGAATCCCTGCAATGGGGTGAGCTCCCGTTGCTTGGTCCCAGCTCCTGCCAACCTAGCAGTTCGAAAGCACGTCAAAGTGCAAGTAGATAAATAGGTACCGCTCTGGTGGGAAGGTAAACGGCGTTTCCGTGCGCTGCTCTGGTTTGCCAGAAGCGGCTTTCTCATGCTGGCCACATGACCCGGAAGCTGTACGCCGGCTCCCTCGGCCAATAAAGCGAGATGAGCGCCGCAACCCCAGAGTTGGTCACGACTGGACCTAATGGTCAGGGGTTCCTTTACCTTTAAAGTGCTGAATTAGACACTGGATACATTTTTCATGTGGGTGGGTAGGGGGAGGGCATGTACAGCCCTATTTTTTTTACTGCTATTTGCTTTTAATAGAGCTGGTATAAAATAGTTGAAGAAACTGAACTATGTTCCTGGTTCAGATCTTTCAGACTTATACACCTGCTCCCCACCCACAATATGGAGCATTGTATGAGTGACTTAACTTTTATTGTTAGAGCCAGAGGCATCATGAGGAGCTGGGGGCAGAGCTGAATGTGGCGGCCATGTGGCTCAATGGCCGGGGGCTCCCTCCTCCCCTTAGCACTGCCACCAGCAGGAGTCTGCTTCACCCCTTCTTCCCCTCTGCAGCAGCAGCAGCAGTAGCAGGAGAAGAAGGAGACAGCTGCTGGAGACATGCCACATTCAGCTCCACACTTCGGCTCCACACTTTTGGGTCATGGGAGTGGTTGGCTGGGCTGGCCCCTACCCCCAAAATATAGGGGGCACCAAAGCTAAAATATTATACAAGAATGTGTATGAGAAATGTGTGCTAAAATGGGGATATATTCTCGTGAGATCTTCAAAATGGTGATATATTCTCACGAGAGCTTAAAGAAAGCAAACTGATGGAGAGGTGTGGTGAACTAAATTTAAGGTAGGAAAAACAAGAATTTTTGGGTGCCGGTGGGTTGCTGGTATTTTGGAAGAGGGGTTCCAAATCATAGTGAGAGATTTAGGTTTGCTCAATTAAACTGGATAATAAGTTATTTGTTGCCCTGGTTGAACAAATCCGTGTTTAAAGTGGAAACTGACTTTCTGAGGTTAG